AGAATTGAGCCACTGGTTAACCTTGCTGGCCATGCAGCCAGAGTTGTGCTTGACTCATGAGTCGAGTCAGAAATTTGACTCAACTCTGACTCAAATGAGTCAGATTTGAGTCGAGTCGGATAAAATGTTAAGCTGTTGAGTTGAGTCAGAGTTGAGTCGGACAAAAATATTAAGGTGTTGAGTTGAGTCAGAGTTGAGTCAGTAAAATAACTTTTGACATTGAGTTGAGTCAAAAACATTTAGGAACATGAGTCAGCTGACTAAACTTTCTAGAAACAATATATAGCATAAGTTTTTCATTCTCCCCCGCTTAACAACTTAGGCCTGGCCCTGCTGTCGGATTTTTTCACCCCCCCCCCCCACTCAACAACTTTTTTATCTGAGTCAATTTTGAGTCAACATACTTGACTCAACAAAAAATTTGAGTCAAGTTTGAGTCAACTCATATTTTCATTGAGCCGCTTGAGTCATGAGTCGAGTCAAGGGAAAAATCAGCTCCTTGTTTGAGTCAGAGTTGAGTCAGGGCATTCTGAAGTTGAATGATGAGTCGAGTCGGCAAATGTTTTGAGTCGAGCACAACCCTGCATGCAGCTAATGTCGACGTATGGGATATGTGCCGCCTTCCCTGGCGGTGCGGCCTCCTAGGTCGCGGCATCTGGTTACAAACCTCCCCCCGAGCCACACCGCTCTTCCCTGCAAGTCACGTGGCAAATGGCCTTGTGTTTAGCATAGCCGGTCCGATGATAGCCCTGCAAGGCCTCACACTAATAATCCTGGCTAATAACAGCCCGTGTGCATCCAACGATCTCCAGCTGGCATGACCTTCCTCACAGCGAATCCCCGTGCCGTGCCGTGTGCCGTGCCGTGCCGTGCCGTGCCGTGCCGTGTTGGCCCGTACTCTGAGGACGAGGTGTCCTCATTGTGCCCCAGGGCGGGGGCCGGACCGGCCGCTGGAGCTGAGGCGTGGTGCGCCGCACTGAGGCGTAACTGACGCGCAACACATCGCGCCGGCGCGGCCACATTCCGGTGGTTTCTGGTCACGGCCAGACGCGAGCGACTCTGTGCGGGCATAATGGCGCTGAATCGGAGCTGAATCAGCGCCCGAACCGTCTGAGTCAATACCTGAACCACCTGAGTCAAGGCCTGAATCATTACAGAGTGGCGTCAGCCTACCGAAGGCGCGAGGCTCACAATCTTGGGAAGTTTCGCCAGTAACGGTGTCGAGATAGTTATCAGTCATTTCCGAGGTGGGGGATATTGTTTGCGCACGATATATAATTTCCTGGGCCGGTAAAGCACGCCCACACGTCTAATCTCTCAGTCATTCGAGATAAGCCGTCTAGATGTATTGCACACAGGCGCAGACTTGTGATGATGTAATCAGTATCTAAGCACATGCCTAGTCATAAGGAAAGAATATCAGACTGCAACAGTGAGTTTGTAACGTTAGCGAGTTTGGAGTGAGTGATAACTCGCTGTGATTATCGAACGGTGAGACCGCCTTCCCTGTAATAGTGCAATTATATCTTGCAAGTGATATCAATTCAGACCAAGACAGTAGCACCAAATTGTCTATTCTTTTCAGCACCTTGTTTATCAAACCATAAACGTTATTTCCATTGTCCCGTTCCGATATAGCTGTGATCCGTGATAGTGCAGAGTTGCCCTCGGCTGTCGCATACGGGCTGAGTTACGTGCACTTCCATCAGACGGAGTGAAAACACCTAACCGGGTTAGTGGCACCGCCGCTAATTGTCACGCCGCGCCGACAGTGCCGGCTGACACTCTGTGGGTCGGCGACACCGGCCAGTCGCTATGTGGCACAGCCAGCCCAGCGCAGCCGGCGGAACAGCTTAGAATGGCGGTGGCCGTGAAGTGGCTCAGACTCGGCACGGACTGCCGCGAGCTGACACTGCGGGATCAGATGGTGCACAACCCGGTCACTGCAGCGTGACCCCGAGCCTGCAATGGATTACCCTGAACACATTATTCCAGCAGCCAAATCTGTCCGAAACCTAAACTGGTGCACCACTGGAGAACTTACCAGTTCTACCAGCCGTAATAGAGCCGTACCAGCCGTAAATAGAGCCGCCGTGGTCACATGCCCTTGTGTGACCCCCCATAGGACAGAGAGGGGCCCTGTTCAATTGCATCAGCCCCCAGCCCCGGGCGTCGTCCCGTCGTTCGTTCGGTGACGGGCTGCACGTCCGTCCCTGCAGAGGCAGTGACGTCTTTCGGCGCCCCGCAGCCAGCATTGACGTCATCACTGACCGTTTTTCGTTTGCACTAGATCATCATTCTACCGCGAGGTCTAAGAGACGTTGCCCCAGAGCCAGACGCGCAGAAAGCGCTGGTTCTGTCATTCATCGCGCTCTCTCCGGTTTGAACTGAATCGAGTTTGCATCACGGCAATATTCTTGACCGCCAGTGTGCCATTTTTATCGTTCGTGTGACTGCGCAGTGGCTGTTGGGTGGCTCTGATGTGATGCTGACGGTGTTCTCTCTCCTTCGGCAGGTGATCCACGCATCATGGTGGCTGAGACTCTGCTCAGCTCGGTGCAGCTGGCCGGGCTGAAGTCGCGGTTCGGCGCCGTCTCGCCGGGCTACTTCAACTACCCGCCGCCTGGCGGCGCTGTGAACGGCGGCCGACCGAGCCAAGGGGCGCCCGTGTCGGCCGCTTCGGACGCGTACCCGGTGTCGCCGCTGGAGCTGCCCGCCTCGCTGCAGTGCGACATGTTCAGCCAGCGCAAACAGCGCGAGTTCATCCCCGACAACAAGAAGGACGAGAGCTACTGGGACCGGCGGCGGCGCAACAACGAGGCAGCCAAGCGGAGCCGCGAGAAGCGCCGGCTCACCGACATGGTGCTGGAGTCGCGCGTGTTCGAGCTCACCAAGGAGAACCACCTGATGCGCGCCCAGCTGGCCGCCATCCGCGACAAGTTCGGCATCGTCGGGGAGAACCTCATCAACCACGAGCAGGTGCTGTCGCAGCTGCCGGCCATGGATCAGGTGCTCAGCTTCACCAAGCGACACAAGCCGCTCAGCGGACAGCACATGATGCCGCTGCCGGCCGGCGGCGGCGGCCCCGCCCCCGGGCCCGGGCCGTTCATGGGCGGCGCCGCGCCGCCGCCGCCGCCACCGCCGCCGTCGTCGGCGCCAGCGTCGCCGCCGGCGCCGGCGCCGTCGCTGCTGTTCCGTCAGCAGTCGATGCGCGAGCTGCGAGAGCCGGAGCCGGTGGTGTGCGACTACTCCCGGCCGCGCTCGGCCGAGCCGGAGCACCAGCAGACGCCGCCGCCGCCGCCGGCGCCGCTGGAGGCGACCAACCTGAGCCGCTCGGCGATCGAGCCGCGCCCGATGCACTCCACGGAGGGCGGCGTGCTGCCGCTCAAACTGCGCCACAAGACGCTGCTCTGCGACCGGGAGGCGGCCGCCGCCGGCCTGCTGGGACTCACCGCCGCGCTCAAGGAGGAGCCGCACGACTCTGCCGGCTCAGAGGCGGCCTCGTCGGGCGACGAGCGCGACTCGGGCCTCTCGGACCGCTCGGCCTCCTGCGACGGCGCCGACGAGCCCGCCCGCAAGCGGCTGCGCGCCGGCAGCGACGCGTCCTCCTCTCCGCCGCCGCAGGCCAGCGGCCAGATCCGCTGCGAGCTGGAGCGGCTGGCCAAGGAGGTAGCCACGCTCAAGTGTCTGCTGAACCACCGGGACGCCGGCTCGCCGCCCATGCAGCCGGAGGCCTGAGGCGCGCGCTCGGCTGGCGGTCGGCAGCCGTGCACAGGGGCTCGCGAGCGGGGACGGTCGCTCTCGCAGGGCAGCTGACAGGACGGGGCTGCGTACAAACCAGGCCGGCGCTGTGCTGGAGTTCAACTGCCGCCGTATCCGCTGTTCCCAGCGGGGAACTCTGCCGGGGACTCTCACATTCCTGGCCGTAAACGGAGCCTGCTACCGGCCACGGCCAGACTGCCAGACCCTGGTCAGACTGCCAGACTACGGCCAGACTGCAATCTACCGGCTGTCGTATGACGACCAGTCGCACCAGTAGGGATAAATGGGGGGTCGGCGCGCCGCGCAGACCCAGCGCCCTGCCAGTGCGCTAGCGGCAGGCTAAGAGGGGGCGTCGAGGAGGCGTCCGGTTTAAAGCTGCATCTCATCGCTGTCTAGAGGTATTCAGCCCACCTGCGAGCGAGGCTTTGAAGTGGTGTCACTGAAACTCGTGTTGATACGTGTCGCCGGCCGGGTCTCTGGTTCCGTGTGCTCCAAGTCGCGCCCGTGACCCGTTTGCAGCTCATTTATCTTGACAAGTTCAAATACACTAAGATGATCCGTGTTCGCCCTACAAATTTTTTTTTTTATTATAAATTTAGTCCGAACCTTTTGATGGGAAGGATTCACAAGGACAGAGCCACCGCTAAGCGAAGCTTGTTGCGATGACCCTGCCCTCTACCCTCCGATCGCGCAATTCCGATTCTATGGCAGAATTTGGAGTCCAAAGTTTAACGTGCGCACAAAGCCGCGCACGGCCGGTCCCCTCGCTGACTTCGCCTGGCTACGGCCTGCCACCAACCGCAACCATACCTGTCAGGAGGCCCATAAATGTCGAGCGCCCGTCGCGCTTCGAACCCGGACTGTCATAACCGGGAACGCGTGCTCTCACCACGCGGAGTCCAACGCTCTAACCAACTGAGCTACGGGACCGACAAATACCTACAAATGCCCTATGACGTACGGTGTTTTGCTCCACAGATACCCTATTATGTGCGGTGTTTTGCTCTACAAATGCCCTATTATGTGCGGTGTTACGTTTGATGGCATGCGGCCTTGCCGACGCTACTTGTGCTGTATTATTCCTTGTTTTGCGCATTCTACGGTTGTTGGCGTTAGGTGGTGCCATGCCCGGTGACTTTGTTTTGTACTGTGTGTTGTAGATATTTATTGATTACACAACAAAGATAAAAAACGGCGTGTCTGTTGGTAGCCTGCTTCCCGTGATAAATTGACAAAGGAACCGAGAATTGTGATCCAAATGAGACGCATGCAATATTCGCAAAGAACGAGGTCACACGCCATTGTACTTACAGCAGAATAACGAAGAAAACGACCAATGCACGGTAACAACAGATGTATTGCACTTCAGTGCATCGCGTCTCATCGCGGACACCTACTAGCCTAGCGCTACTCGCTGCCATTCTATAGTGAACTGACACCGACCAGATACCATGAAACCGCTGACTGACATCCGACACACTACATCGACACATATTGACATACTCGAAGCACCGGCGCTGCAATCTCAGAGCATATTTGTCACGACTGAGGCGAACTAAACAAACTGGACGACACGCTCAGCTTTCCCTGCCACAGGTGAACATAAAACATGTGTTCTGTAATAAAATCGGTCTAGTTTGTCGCGATGTGACGGGCTTAGTCCTGCACTCGCCATCGACATCTGCATTTCTTACGTCCACGAGATATTCATAGAGGGAGGGATTCTACATTGCAAACGTAACAAAGATATCACTCAACTGTTTGGAGCAGCGGCACGGCGAGACCAGTCATGGCACTAAGCGATCCATTTATCCGTCTACCACATACACGACATGGCTTTGAAGGCCCAGAAAGGAGGGCAACAGCACAATGAACAGCCCCTCGACTAGGTAACAAATCTACGGAAAACTACTGAAGCTGGCTTATGTAACCACATCCATTGCACAGCAATAATGCCCAAATATGCACGTAAACTTGGGTTGATAGGTAGAGGTAGGCTTACACGACAATGAGGTATCTCAAACTTTCTAAAACAAATGGCCAATGGGTGTCTAAGTAGACGGAACGTACATTTATACCTACAATGATTGACAGGGAAAAGTGTCCGAGGCTAAGAAAGCGAAACAAAAATAATGATGAGCTCAACAGAACAACAACGTTTTCTGGTGCATTGCTTAAAAGTCTTGCAGGTGCCGTCGAGGGTCGAGAATCCGCCACAGAAACAGCGGCGATCACGAAAGCCGAGCCAATGTCTACCCGATGAGTCGACCGGTGACATTGAGGAACTTGTGTAGGGCTGGGAACATCAACATGCAGAGCTCCGCATGAGCTCAGGAGCCCGTTAGACCTGCCGTACATTCCCAACATCCCAGCTACCTGCCTCCTCTCCCTCCGTCCCTCACCGTTCCCCGTCACTAGCATCACCTAGCGGCCGTTGTCGGTACTACAAGTCCAGGTAGGTGACCTGGGTGGCGGTGATGGCGCCACAGGTGCTCAGCACGGCCGCCAGCACCACCACCATGGTAGTGGTGCCGGCCGCCGTCACGATGGAGCCCACGCAGAGGCTAAGGACGAACTGCGCCAGGAACACCATGCTGGAGACGATGGCCACGTCGGTGCCGAGGCCGCGCACCTGCTGCGTCTGCACCGCCTCTGAGCCGGAAGGGGCGGCGGCGAACTGCGGCGGACCGAGGGCCAGAGGTCGGTCAGCAGGCAGGTCAGGTCAGTCAGCAGGCAGGTCAGTTCGGTCAGCACTAGCAGCCAGGTCAGGTCAGGTCAGATCTGATGGCAGATGTAAGGTCAGGTCAGTTACAGCGGGGCAGGTCAATCAGGTTCAGTGGAGGGTAGGCGGGGCCAGGTCATGATTAGGCTAGCAAAGGTGGAGAGGTCAAGTCAGACCAGGTTCGGTCTCGGTGGGGATAGCCAGGCCAGTTTTCAGCCCCACCTGCACCCCACCAAGCCCGGCCCCGCCCTCTCCTGTCACTGGCCACTAGCTGTGTCTCTGGCCCGGCGGTGGCGGCCGGCAGTGCGAGCTGTTCGATTATGGAAGCCCTATTGCTCGCCGCCGACTGACGACTCACCAGGGCAGGGTACAGATAAAAGCAGGAGGAATTACGGCGAACAAAGATAACAACCGGGACCAGAGAAGGAGCAAAACGAATTAGCAGACTGATCAACAAAAAAAACGGCAAAAGACACGAAGACGTCAATAAGGCAGTGCCTCAGTCAAAGGCCAGAAGCATCATGTTTATTCACCGGAACGTTACCGCAGATGCTGTGCCGCATTGCTTCAGTGTCATGCGGGCTGCCTACCTACGCAGGCAGTGTGTAAACCCAGGCGGCTATGATGCCGCCTGGGCAGTTAGACTGTGCCGCAGTGCCACGGTGCCGTGCGGCGCAGCATATCTAACGTTTTCTTACTCATCTCAATCTGAATGATTCGTTCAAGTGCTTCGGTATCGCCACATCTTTTTTGGAAGTGTTGAAAAATATCCGGCGGTTGAATGATAGTGTTTGCATTTTTCGGAGAACAAGTAGCCTTCTCGTAAAACTTTGTGCCAATAATCGGCCCTCTCCCTTACCTCTCCCTCGTTCCATCACACGCTCGCCCCTCTTCCTTCCTCTCTGTTCTGCTCGCCCCCTCTCACCGATCCGGAGACGTGGTAGTTCCCCCTCTCACCGATCCGGAGACGTGGTAGATCCCCCTCTCACCGATCCGGAGACGTGGTAGTTCCCCTCTCACCGATCCGGAGACGTGGTAGTGCGCCACCAGTAGGTACGGCATGGTGAACAGCGTCGAGTACATGACGCCGGCGCACGCCGAGAACACAATGACGGCCACGCGGTGACGAAGGCTGGCCATGAACACCATACCCAGAGCGTACACCAGCTGGCCACCCACGTATACCGGGCGCGCCCTGCCGACAACAAAAATTACTCTAATCACCTAACGGCAGTCAAAAGTTCCAAAGACAAATAAACACAATGAAATGATTGTAAGCTTGAAGCCAAGTGTGTATACTATATAGCAATACATGGATCAGTCGACCGTTTGTCACACCTGAATCTTCTGACGAGGTTCTCGATGATGAAGGAGTAGATGGAGCAGGACAGTGAGTAGATGGCCATTCCCCAGCAGCCGAAGCGCACGCCGTCCTCGTACGCCTGCCGGAGTGGGGTGCCCACGGCCGCCTGCCGAGACACAGACACAGGCGGGTCAGCCGGCCAATGCAGTGATGTTAGTTTGTTTCGGGCTGTTGGGACTTTTCTCTTTACAAAGTGCAAAAACATTTAATCGTGAGAAGTTTCACAAATTCCAAACCGTTTATCTACCTTCTTTTATAATTCTCTCTCTTCTCGCTCTCTCGCTCTCTCTCTCTCTCTCTCTCTCTCTCTCTCTCTCTCTCTCTCTCTCTCTCTCCCTCTCCCCTAACCTGCGGGTCTCCGCCGAACACAGCCTCGCCCACGAAGTCGGTAAAGTAGAGGGAGTAGCAGACGAGCGACATCCAGCAGAACAGGTTGGTCAGGCAGAGCACTCGCAGGGAGGCCGGCATGTAGACGATAGAGAGGAGGTACTCCTTCAGCGAGACACGCGGCTCCTCCGCCTCGGCTGGGTCGGCCACCTGCAGACGGCACGCGGGGTCTTTTCAATAGGTCGATGTTCGTTGGTTGAGTGTTTTAGCTATATCTTGAGACCATTGCACTGCTGTTGTTTTACGTGGCATTTTACTTACGTCATCACGAATACTTCATCTCCCGTTCCGAATCGAACTCTCAGATATCAAGTCACTGTGACTTTCCTGACCTCTACCTCACTGTCAATATGCTCCGATCTGATCTACACCTTGCACCCCACCTGCTCTCTCCTATATGTTTTCTTTCTCGGCGGCCCGCACCTTGGTTTCTGTGGGCGTCGGCGCCATGAAGCTGGTCTCGCCCTGGTGGGTCGGCGACGGGCTGGCCTGGCCGGAGACGGTGCCGTAGGACCGGTGGGCGGCCGCGTCGGACGTGCTGACCGTCATCATCACCTCCTGGTCGGTGCCGCTCTGGGACGGGGGTGAACGGGGTCAGCGCAGGGCAGCGTAGGTCAGCACATGTCAGGTGATGGCTCACTGCACTGCATATCAGGTAAAGCAGCCAATCAGGACATACGATTCTGCTGATAGTTTACTGGAAGTTAAACCACTCCCCCCAAAAAATATCACTGAATATAATCAAGGCGGCGCCTATGGCACCAGACACCGCATTTATTTGTCTTACCTTGCCGTCGGGCGGCACCTGGGAGTGGATCAGGTCGAGCGGTATTTCCGGGAAGCTGCACATGGTGGTCATCAGGCAGGCCAGGAAGATGAACAGCACAAGGGTGAAGACGGCGCGCACGTGGCCTCCGAACACCTCCCCTGGCGGTGCAGTGTCACCAGAGGTCACCAAACGGCACCACAGGTCACTGGGTACCCACGCAGGTCACTGGGCGTCACTGAGGTTACAGGTGAACATCTAATACACCGTCAGCAGCATATATTTCCAAATCGCGACCGGCGAGTCTATAAGAATGCGACCATTCCACAATGCTTCCCATTTCAGACCGGCCGTCGTGTTTTGCATTGATTCCAGAACATGATCCATCCATTTGTTCGCCAAAAGGAAACCCCGCGGCACCGGCGCACGCCACTCGTCTCGCAGCCAACTTTGTAAGTGATCTGTTTGCGAGATGCAGCTCTGAACCAGAGCCACATCCTCCAGTTCTGGTCACCGGATATTCCTCAAGGTATGACTGACTGCAGAACAACCGTTGTTCACTAAAATATCCTGGCCGAGTGAAAAACCCAAGCAAATACAGTGTGGGCGACGCTTCTTTGCGTGCTGAGTGTAGAGTAGCATCAATGGGGCATATTTTTGGTTAGTCTCGTTATATAAGCCATTTTACAATGTGAGGGCGGCGAAGAGTGCAATAAACAGGGAAACAAAGCAAAGAAAAGGGACAAAGATCTTAGGAGAAAAGGGGAGAGATTCGTATAAAAGTCGGAAGAACAGCTAGGGCAATGAGAGGACACAGCAGCAAAGAACAGAACAGAGAGGGGCAAAACAGAGCTGAGCAGTGCAGAGTGGAGCAGAACATAATGGAACAGAACAGAACCGGAGCAGAACGGAACGGAGCAGTGAGAGCGGCTCGGATGGACGTGTCTATCACCCGGGTCCGGTCCCGCGGGGTTCGGGTGGGAACAACAGCCGTCCCCGGGGGTACCCCGGCCGGGCTGTTTACGGCCCCGGACGCCGACCGCTGCCCAGTGTCCCCAGCCGTCTGGGAGCAGCTCCGCCCCAGCAGACTCGGTCTATTGTGACTGGGTACCAACAAAGGCTGCATGGTATAGTCCCAGCGCTCATGACTTCTGTTCGAAGCCTGCCGGAAGACGTCAGTGACGTACTAACGAACGAGGCGCACAGAAGCCGTACCTATGAACGTGGCGTCCCAGTTGATGCCGCCCATGACGTATCCCAGCGCTCCCCCCAGTCCTGCGTTGATGGTGAATGTGCTCAGACCTCTGGCGTGGTCCTCTGCGGCAGAGAGGTGAGGGCAGCCAGGTTAAACTCGAGTGAGTCGTGAACAGAGGGCCGAGCTGTCCTGCCAGCAACGATCATCAGCCAGTATGGTATGCAACCATTGGACTTTGTTGGCACTGGCATCCTTTGCTAAAAATTGTTATTTCTACGATTATAAATCGTAAATATTTGCACTTACCATTGCTTATTCCTCGGCTTACGTTCGCCCATAACTACTCACAGATGCATAATCCAGGAATGGCAGCTGATTAGCGAGCTATCGGCCGCAGCAGACCGGTCCGTCTGCGTCAAACGCCGGCGCCTATCAATCTGAACGGCGTGAGATGCAGAGACTATAAGCCTGCCTTCTGCGTCAAACACCGGCGCCTATCCATCTGAACGGGCCGGTTCGGCGGCCGGCAGGAGACAAAGGCATGGCTACGGGGGTGATATCATATGCTTACAGACAGGAATAAAGGCAATATTTGTTCGATAAAGTCTGGGTGTGCCATTTGATGAAGAACAAGAACTTAGCTGCCTGTATGCTGGATCCTACCGCCTGTTCTTTCATCTTTAGATCCCGGTAAATACGATTACGTCTACCAGATATCAAAGGCATTTTACTCTCAACTTTCCCGTAGGGTAAAATAAATGTGATCTTAATTATTTTGCGTTGAACACAACAGTACCGTCAAAGACATGGGTGTGGAACGACTAGGTATGCCTTACATAACTACATAGAAATAGGCGTGTACCCTTCACAGTACCTACCGATTCATTGGTAACGATTAGATTACTTATGCAATAAGAATAATTAATTCCAAAAGTAGTTATATGCTATGCCCTGTACTATCTGCACAGAGATGATACTGGATCGCAGCACACACTCCCTACCGTAGACCTGTTGACCTCGGGGCGGCTCACCGCCTCACCGGGCACTGTGATGTCGAGCAGAAAGGCGCGCGCCGGGCTCTGGCACGCGTCCGAGTCAAAGTCGAGCAGCACCGTGCCCACGATGGTGAAGAAGATGCCCCACGGGTGCGCGTGGTACTCGTGGGACGAGTTGGCCGCGTCCGCCGCGAACAGCGGGTACGTCAGGTTGGCGGGCTCGGACGGCGCCGGGTCCGGCACCGGCTCCAGGTCATCGGAAGCGTTGGCGGCCGGAGGCGGAGGGTACTCGTCGCCCAGGGCGCGGCCGATCAGACTGCCGTTAGGCACCAGCAGCAGACCTGCCGGCGTGGCGACAGAGCCGGTCAGACAGTTCAGTTCTTCGATCGGGAAAGTTGTGAGACTGAGGACTTCGCTCGCTCCGCTCGCTCAGTAATCAGTAAGCTATTCTACATTGAATCATCCCACGGCCGTCTCGGCAGTTAGCATGCCCACTCCGGCCCTGTACCAGCCTAGAGGCGGACCCATAGCGCAGAACCACTCAGTACCGACCTACCACCCCGTCAGTACCGACCTAGCACCGCTCAGTATACCGACCTAGCACGATGCCGACGGAGAGGAGCAGAATGAAGGGCCGGCGGCGACCCAGCGGGCTGCGGCAGCGGTCACTCATGGACCCCAGCACCGGCGTCAGAAAGAACCCGACCAGCGGCGACAGGCACCATATCAGCGTCATGTGGCTGTGCAGCACACCTGGGACAGGCACCAGAGGGGCGTCATGTGACTGTGCAGCACACCTGGGACAGGCACCAGAGGGGCGCCATGAGGCTGTGCAGCACACCTGGGACAGGCACCAGAGGAGCGTCATGTGACTGTGCAGCACACCTGGGACAGGCACCAGATCAGCGTCATGGGGCTGTACAGCACACGGTCCTGGGACAGGCACCAGAGGGGCGTGATGGGGCTGTGCAGCACACCTGGCAGGCGTCCAAGACAACGTCAGGCCCCATGCAGACAGCGCCCCAGTGCGTGGTTGGTGACAATAGACATATCGCATCGCTGAATAACAATCAGGGAACGGAGGGCATCGCGGCATGCATTGCAAACATGAACCCGGTCCCATGACGTTTGGAGGGTCTGTCTTACGTAAGATCAGTGGTTTTCGAAGCAAAGCGATTTTCAGGCTATTCTTTGCTAATTTCGCGCACAACTCTTGCCCCACATGCACATTTGCAGCGTTACAAGTTACCTATGCTCGGTCGTATGAAGTAAAAAGCTGATCATTGACATGAATTTATGTGATGCGAATTATATTGATACATTTACAACATTCGTTTAATTGAACACAAAACAACGTCGCTTAACCCGGCAGTTGCTGGGGTATTTCGCCACCCACCGTTTGCTGGGGAGGGGCGTTAAACGCCCCCAGCCGATAACTCGAGAACCAATAGGCGCAGCGAAACGCACGAGGCGGCAAACGAAAGAACGCGACGAGACGCTTCAGATGAGTACTTTAAAGTTGAATTTTGAGGTCACAGGTCGGGTCAAGGTCAGGTCAAACACCTGAAATCGGGCTTTCAGTAGCATGGACTTCAGGACTTCGCAATGGGCGCCTCTCGTCAGAAACTCTGTCAAAACGGTGCACAATCCATCATATAAGGCCTACAAGAGTGTCAGTTCCATGTAGGGGTCAGTCAAGCATAGGTCAGGGTCAAGGTCAGGTCAACCGGGTAGGCACATATCCCCGAAATTCAAAACTGATATTCGCAGCCTATGACACATGTTTTATGGGTAATTTGGGCCGCAGAACACGATGGTGACATTCATTTTATCATATGTATACGTGTTTGGCTCAAAAAGTTCAATTTAAGAAATTCATGTATCATGGTCGTGAAGAAGTCACGAGAAATTGTCAAGATTCAGTTCAATATTTTGGAAAATGCGGAACGATAATCAATAATCGAAGATAGCCATTTGATTGTTCATAGTATTGGCATTCTAATGGCGTTTACGGCATGTCTGTATGTCTATTCTGTGATTTTATATGATTTTTTGAACATATGCCGTTTTTGGTCGAAAAATCAGAAATCATGACGTCACTAAAACCTCGATATCTCAAAAATTTTCCGACCGATTTTTTTGAAACTCTGTCACAATAAACTTCAATCAATTCCTTACAGGTACCCAAGATTTGGCGCGCCTGCGGCGCGCCATTTTTATGCTATGGTCCGGCGAAAAAAGTGGGGGCGTTTAACGCCCCCCCCCAGCAACTCGCGGGTTAAAAAATCGTCATTCTTCGTGTGACAGTGCTACCTTCAAAAGGACAAGATAGCCCTCTGTGACCATCCACCGGGCCCCAGGGCCCCAGCGCCCTCAGAGGGCCCGCTCGAGCGCCGTTCACTCGGAGCTGGGTCGTGTCGCTGTCCGTACCGATAGAGAGCAGCGTGGGGGAGACGAACGCCGTCTCAGCGGCGTAGCAGAACTCGATCCCCATCACAGCCGCCGAGATCCGCAGCAGCTCGGCGCGAGTCTTACTCCTGAAAACAGACGTCACTGCAATCAGAGTTTACCAGTGTTGCTGCAGATAGTGCTCGCCGTGAGCTCGCATTACGCGGCATGCAGTTTTTTTCTAAAAAAAATGAAGAATACAAAAATACTACATATAAATGTTTGTACCAATGCCTGAATTTACCCCTCGCCAGTCGGCGTGAAGGGGGGGGAGGGTCGAACGTCAGTCTTGTCAAACGACCCCTACTGGCTGACCTGACCTGACCTGACCCGACCTGGTCTAAATGCTTAAAGACATCATCTGCGATCAAAACTAACATGATATTCGTGACCAGCACCCCGAGAAACCCCATAGCAGCCTATACTTTACGACGCTCTAACAGGTCCCGATTTTCCCGACTTTTGGGACATTGACCTAACCCGCAAGATCAACCAATGACCTAGGACCTTAAACTTGGGTATCATCGGCTTCCTCTCGTCACGGACCACGCTCGTTTTTTGCCGCGAAGCAGCTCGATCAGGAGGGAAACGGCAAGGTGGGGGGGGAGGGGTCAAACGGACCCCCCCCTTATACCTTCGCGTTTGGAAAAACACCAATACGGGCGAGGGTTCCCAGACAAGTGGTTGATATGCAGCTCTCTTCGTTCGTTTATGAGGCTATTTCCTACCAGTACGAGGGATGTTAGACCACGGCTCAGTCTGTCAGATAGTTCCATTGCAGTCCAGCACTGCTCTACTGTATATATGTACGGCGTATTACGCTGCCGCCCATCAACTGCAGCCGTGTTTAAACCAAAGTAGGACGTTCGCATTCAATGCATAAACTAAAGGACGATGTCCCAGTTTGCTGCGCCTGCGAGCTGTGTGAAGCATTGCAATGTGCAAGTGCTGAAAACATTAAACGACTGTGTGTTTAAAAGATAACAATCGCAATATATTTCCCTGACGTGCTAAGAAACATACAGATTTGTGTTTTCAATAAAACTCTATAAAAACAAATTCAAGATGCCCGGTGCAAAAATGTCTTCAAGTGTCTTTAAACGGGACAAATAGAATGCAGAATGAGAATACCAACGTCATTGATATTCATAGTTTCAGCCTGCCTTGTGGTCATTCCCGCTCTGCCGACCAGTCCTCTCACCTGTAGACGTGTGAGTAGTCGGTGCCGTCCGCCTGGTCGGCTCGGGTCAGCAGCCAGTCCCGCACCCTCCCGGAGAAGGTGCGGGCGCCGGAGCCGGAGCCGGAGCCGTGGCCGCCCTCCGAGTCCCCCCTGCGCCGCTCGCGCCACTCGCGCCAGGCGTCCTTCACGGCCTGCACGCGCCAGTAGCCGCCCGTGTACTCGTTCAGCTTCTCCATGGTGATGGTGGACGCCCTGCGAGGGCTTCAGCTGGTGTGCCTGGCACACTGTCAGACACGCGCCCTATGCAGGCGTTTTGTGAGGAAATGTGAGGTATTCGGCCGAATATCGGTGTATTCTGCAACTTCTTCACCAAATTAATTATTGAAAGAAGTTTTCATAAGTGTCAAACTGATAGACGCTTACACATGAGCACTGCTGAATTCTTGCTGTTCGCGTCACTTAGCTGTGTTACAAAGCTTGCTGTGAACTTTGAAGCCTGCGTGGCAGAAGTTTGATAGCGTTGCCACTCAGTGGCTATACCTTTCTGTTAGCCGGTTCAGAACGTCTTGTATGAACTACGGGAGCGATATTGCAATATCTTGCCTTCTTATGCAGTATTTGTTAAAGGTTGACAGTCAAAACGATGCATAACAAATCACTGTTATATCTTTTAAGCTCACTGAGTGCTAAGGAAATGCTGATTACCTCACAGCAGCTGGTATCGTTTTAGAGTTCAGCCACTAACCCGTCGGACGGATTGTCCTGGCTAAACTGCCGTTCACAAGTCACACAGTCGCGGTGCAGTCCGCGGGGTCCGGTCGGAGTCTGCCGCGGTCTCCCACTCACAGCGGCTGCCGCTACACTGGAGCTGAGTCGTCGGCGTGCGCCGCGCACCGCCGGCCGGCCGCCGCCGCCCGCCGCCCACCGCCCGCTGTTCTAACCACCGCCCACCGCCCGCCGTTTCTACCCACCGCCAGCCGCCCACCGTCCACCCGCCGTCCACCGCCCCCAATATCTTCCTCCCACCGTGTCACCGCCCAGTACCTTCCTCCCACCTCCTTCAGTCTGACCTCTCTCACCCACTCCCCGTCTTCACCCTTCTGTGATCCGCCATCTCCCGTTCGTCCTGCTCCATGCACGCCCTCCCCTACGCCATCTCCTACCTCCCATCTGGCGTTGTTCGTCGGCCTTCCGCTGTCCTCTGTCCTCCCTCGCTGTCCTCCTCTGTCCTCCCTCGCTGTCCTCCTCTGTCCTCCCTCGCTGTCCTCCTCTGTCCGCTGTCCTCCTTCGCTGTCCTCCTCTGTCCGCCACCCGCTCCCCTGTCGGACGGCGCCATACACCCCTGCCGTTCGCTGTCCCCTGTCCCCTTGTCCTCTGTCCTCTCGCTGTCCTCTGTCCGCTGTCCACTGTCCCCTGTCCCCTGCCGTCTGTCCTCCATCCAGTCCGCTGTCATCTCCCGCTTTCTACTGTCCCCGCTGTCGGCTGTCCTCTGCTCACTGTCCCTTGCTCACTGCCCATTGTCCGCTGACCTCTCTGCAGTCCAATGTCCTCTGTCTTTCCCAGCGGACTACTGTCCCCGCTCCCCGATGTCCGCTGTCCGTTGTTCGCCCTGTCCCCTGTCTCCTGTCCTCTGTTTCCTGTCCCCTGTCTCCTGTCCCCTGTTATCTGTCCTCCATCCAGTCCGCTGTCCTCCCCGCTGTCCGCTGTCCCCACCGTCCGCTGTTCTCCCCGCTATCCGTTGTCCGCTGTCCGCTGACCGCTGTCCGCTGTCCGCTCCGGCTGCCCACGGCGGCCGTCTGCCGTCCGCCAGGCTACCAGATACCGCCCGATGGCCAATAAGACGATAAAAGGAACACTACTCGCTTCTCATATTCGCTCTTTATAGCCGGCGATAGCGCCACAAATATTTGTTTAGTGGAGTAATGCTTCAATGTTGTGGTCTGCGGGGGCTACTTGGGCCGCTGCCGGGGGAGCCGGAGACTGCTAAACTGGGAAGATGGAGCGGAGAGTGCCGCCGCTGTCGGTACAACCAGATCACGTCTGAAAACAACGCCGAGCGGCTGAAAAATGGGGTGTGTATATGGGGAGAGGGAAGGGAAGGAGAGGAGGGGTCGGTCGGTCGGGAGAACGGGAATCGGGGAAAGAGGGAGACAGAACAAAGCTCTTCTGTCCATGGGGACAGCCGCGAGGCCCAAGGAGACGCGGGCCAGAGAAAGATCAGCCGCGGTGAGTTGTGAACGTAAATGTATGGTTGGGGAAGCGCATGCCAGCGGGATTTTGCACTAACAGTTGATCAGAAAGTATCAATAGAAATCGGGATAAACGCATAAGCGAAGTCACTATTTCTTGACACCAAATACTCAATACATAAGCATTATTTGTCTATTGGTAGGCATGCTTCGTTATTCGTAGGTAAGCATACTTTGTAAGTACTCGTTAGAAGTAAGCATAGCTCGTGACTCTTGTGTCTGTCTGTTTGTTTGTTTGTTTGTTTGTTTGTTTGTTTGTTTGTTTGTTTGTTTGTTTGTTTGTTTGTTTGTTTGTTTGTTTGTTTGTTTGTTTTGTTGGGTTAGGCCCTTTCGGTCCAATAAGACCATTTCAGAGCCGGGAGGATGATAGGATATAGGGGGAGACATTGGTCTGGGCAGGCACCCTAGTGAGTCGCCGGGGCTGAGCCCGTCCAGAGGACAGGCCACCCAGCCCCAAGGCACTCACTGCACCCGGCTACGGGGTGCGCTCCCTCGGGAGCAGCGGTGCCGCTCCAAGGGAGCAGCCCGAATGAGATAAAGTTGCCTGTCCAGCCCGGAGGGGGGTTGTGGCGTGGAGGAGAAGGATTTCAGTTTCCTGAGGATAGAAGCACGGACAGGTGTCTAACTGTGTACTTAGTATTCGATATAACTATCACCATGACATGCGGAGACCTTACTGCGTAAAGTCCGATGAGGCTTAAATGTTCCACAAGCTGTACTGCACTGTAGAAATTAACGCTGGATGTATTTCCCGTTCTAATTTAGCGAAACTTTCGAGACGCCACTCTATGGCTAGTTGAGCCTTTTGCTCCGATATACTCTATTATCTCTCTTGTCTCCCTTTGCCACCGCGTTTCCAGCTGTGCTGATATAGGGCAGGCGGCGTTGGACCCGGGTCCCGCGAAGCCATAGCTAAGACAATACACAAGATAGCCGCCGAGCTGGGAAGCCGTGCGACAGAGCCGCCGACCAGAAGCGGATCGAGCTGTCCCCTACATACAGCCACGGGTAAGTCGAACGGACGCATGTGCAATGGCCGCTTTGCAACAATGTGCTGCGGTCCCTTACAAGTGTTTGGTACAGTTTCTGTGCGGTCTAGTTTCTTTATGTTTCGTGATGGTTGCATGTTTGTAGGGCTTACGCAGTTTTATGACGGAAAAAAGCAGAGGCTGCAGTTTGTTGAGAAAAAGTTTTGAAGCACCTAGTCGAATATCTAAAAATCCCTGAAGCATCGAAAAAGACGACCGAAAGCCAAATGATTCTTCGAATAGACTACGTTTTTAAAATGTCAAAGCACTAAAGCAACTCCACAAATTCGGTACTGGAGCTCACCTCTAGGCTGAATAAATCAGGTCGTCATACGAAACACCCTCATCATATTCCCGTTTTCGGAGAAAATCCGTAAAACTGAGTCGTTGTCCACAGCAATGCTATTCACCACGCAAAGCAGCGTGTTATCCAATGTAAGTACGGGAGCCACATAGGTCAGTGAAGCAGCATTAGGTGCTCACATATCAGAACCCTCGTTTCAATCGCTGATTCGCTCACAACGACTAGGCTCACTGCCTTTGACCCTATCTCAAGATATCATGCAGGATATCTTCAGATGATTATTACTCAAAGCAAACATCAAAGTAAATGAGCGAACGTCTCTGAAACGCAGTGTCATAGTGGACAAACAAAGACGGCGAAGCGCAGGAGCAGCCGGACAGAGCCGGCTCTTGTATACGTGCTCTCGTATGTAGGCTCGTAATGTAACTTACTGTATATACATATGTGGAAGAGCTACGTACAGCATAAACCGACTCTGCTATCAGTTGAAAAGGTTTACTCTTCTCGTTACCTCCTGCGCAATCCTGCCGATCAGGTTCCCGCTGTGATGATAATACATCGTCCTGTGATATCGTCACTCCGCCGCCAGCGAATGTCTCCGTGATTCGCATCTCATTGGCACAGTATGGCGCATCGGGCACAGCACTATCATACACGCGCGGGCCGCCGCACTGGCTCCCCTCCCTACACCGCACTGCCAGTGCGTGCACTGAACTACCACTGAACTGCAGAGGGGAACGAAACTCACTACCTGTCAACGTACACCACACGCATGACGGCTGGCGCCAGCGTTATTGATTGCTAGTGACACCATGCGGCGCATTGGCCGCGGAGACGTTTTTTCATCCAGAGTTGGACTATTTAGTCGGGGAGGAGGAAACACGGCTGGTGGGTCGCTGGAATACGTTTTATAAACTGAATCTTTGTTCATTATTTGGCTTTATTGTTTGGAGTTAGCAAATTTATCATCATTTGACTTAATTTGCCAAAACATATTCCTAAAATATAGCTGCCTAAGTTTGTTCTACAAAGTTACACGGCCTAAGTTATATGTCTAAGTTACACGGCTTCTAAAACGTACATGCAGACAATTTTTTTCACACCATTCTTCAGATAAAATATCGGGCACACCTCCACGAAAGTGACACTTGCACAAGCATCCGCCTTTCCAATTGTAAAAACAAAACTTCGGTGGTTAAAATAGCTGTATTTCATTTCGGCAGTGGCCCGAGCGAGCACTCATCCTTAGCTCCAAACAAACGTCGGACCAAGGCCCTATATACCCGTCGGACTATAGCACCTGCAACACGTGGTAACAGTCTTCGGACGTTATCAACTGCTTGGCAGCAGTGAGAACCGGGAGCTAGGTCAAACACAGTACCGATATATGTATGTGGAACATTTCAACCAGCCAATTAACACCGCTGACAGCAACTGGGGTCACATAGCTCAACACCGGCTTAACAGTATCCATATTCGGTACCATAAACTGTACCTATCACTGCAGAAAGGTGTATTCATGACCTAATGTACGTACATACGTGCTACACCCCTCTGCATCAATAAAGGCATATAAAGCGTAGGTATCGGCATACACATAATTTGCATCAATACAGGCATACAACACTTGTATCCTTGAGTAATTAGTCATGACCTAAACAACATGCCACGTATTCAGTACCTAGTTGAGTTAGTGTTTGTTGGAAAACAAAATTATTAGGCAAATGTAAATAGTGCGACCTTGTTCGCTCCCTTACAATACTGTGCCATAAGTCAAAATTATACTGAGTTCATATACTTCTCCATCATGCATTTTCAGTGAAACATAACTAAATTTCACGCTGGCTCTTAGAAGTTTGTGCGTCGCTTTCAGAACTAATTCATTTGTGTGTCTTTTAATTACCCGTTCACCAGACGATGCAAAAGGTGCTTAGATAAAAAAATTGCAAGGTCTACGGTTGATTGAGCCTTTGATCGTTAAAATAAGGTAAAACACAACGGAGATTGCATCTTTCAATGAATAGGAAAGGTCACGGTATTTGGGGCATATCTAATCGGTCAGATTAATGATAATTCGGTGATGAGTGATTATCATTGTACGTGTCATATTCGCTTCATTCCAAAATACCCTGGTGATTGTATCCTTACCATAATCACGTAATATCTGGTAACTTTTATATTGAGGCTAGTCATTGTCGGTGGTATGTTACGGACATTCATGTCCGTAACATAGCCGTAACATGATTTGAAAGGTCATGACCTTTTAAACCAGCTGAAGAGGCGGATGTCCTCCCCAGCTAAATATATTGGCCACTGCGCAGCTAAATAATTCACCAGCCAACTTCGCTGGGAAAGGCGGCTGGGAAAGAAAGGCCTGGAGTCTGGACCTGGGGAAGTTTGGCCCAAGTCATGTGGCTCCACTACGCCGTTCTCACGCATTGCATGGGTAAGCGCAGCCGGAATCTCCACATCCCGTCTGTGCCATGGATCAACTATATGCAATATTCAACAAACCACAAATATAAAAATACATAACGGAGATGACGCAGTTTTCCACGTCTCCCTGTCCCTCTCCTCCCCCAGTCAACGACCAATCACGAAGCCAACAGCCAACCGTCCGAGTCAATCTCCCAAACCCTCAGTCAGGATATGCATCTCATTTCGCCTTTTTGCCGACAGATGGCAGCGGCGGCGGCGGCTCGGTGAGCGGCCGGCCGCTGCAGGTGGCGCCACTGAGGTCGACCAGGGTGTTGACCAGCGCCTGCGTGGTGTGCGCCAGGAAGGGCAGGTTCTCGGGGCCGGCCTGCAGCAGCTGCGGCACGTCGTCACAGGGCGAGTGGTAGCAGGCGGCCATGGCGCCGCGGTACGGGCCCGTGTCGGTCAGCAGCACGGCGGGGATCGTCTCCGGCGCCTCTGTCTGGTTCTTGGAGCCGCGGCTCACGTACCTGCCGAGGAGGGTCGGGGACGGGTCAGAGGGCTGCGGAGGTAGAGAGGATGGGAGGAACGAATTGGAGCGGCTCTCAATACCACGGAATGAAATGCCGGGGGCTAAATTGCTGCATTTACCGGTGAAACAGCGTGAGAGATGGAAGTCCCACCTCGTAAACTCATTGTCACTCCCATAGCCCTGTGGCAGGACTCTGTTCCTCACTTTCTCCCGTCGTCTCACCAGAATCGGCTGTGGTCGGAGCGCATCAGGTCCATGTGCTCGAACAGGACGTCGTCGCTCGGCTTTTTGGCCGGCAGGTCGACGTCGAACCGCTCCATGGAGAACTTGTACGAGTCCCTGAGCGTGCTGTAGTGGGCGCTGAAGGCGTCCACCAGCTGCTCCTCCACCGGCCGTCGGTAGATGGCGGCCAGGAAGTCGCCGCGCCCGCCGCGCCGGTCAATCCGGTCCACAGTCCCCCTCAGCTGCCGACCAGACGCACAGAGTTAGAGCGGAAACTCGCAGTGAGGTATACAGACGCACAGAGTTAGAGCGGAAACTCGCAGTGGGGTATACCAGACGCACAGAGTTAGAGCGGAAACTCGCAGTGGGGAATACCAGACGCACAGAGTTAGAGCGGAAACTCGCAGTGGGGTATACTTGAGCACTGCGAACGGTCTTTGACTCATAGTTCTTACCCTTGTCTGCATTTAGAGAAGGTAAAAGTTGAATGACGCTAATTTCTAATCATGAGAGAAAGATTTTCAGAAGGGTATGACCAAAAAGAGAGATTTTATTACCAAGTTTAGCAATACGGTCATATATGGAAGTCCCGCTGACGTTTTGCAGATAGGCTGTCATATCAACGAACATTGCCTGAGATCGGAACAATACGGGCGCACTGTCATGGAGGTGCATTGTTCGGGCAGAGCCTGTGAGTTGCAGCTGTCCCAGCGCACGTGTGCGGCATTTAGCTTCGCTTCTCGTCGCTCCTCTCGACTGGTGCTCGCGCGGTCACTGAACTGGTCACGGTTCTATGTATAACTATGGCTAACTTTCTCCAAAGTCACGACATTCCATTGCTTTATTTATGTCACTCAGTTTTGAGTCTCTCGCGACTGGTCCTCAAAATTGTTCGGTCGCTCTATATATATGCTTGTCTTTGCCATTTGGTGTCCCTAACTGCGGATCACTGACTGTAAACTGAGGGCTTACGACAATAACCTTTTGCTCTTTTGGACAACGATACAAGCAGTTCGTGATTGCTTCAAAAACACCGATCAATCGACCACCGAAATCCAGACAGCGCTTATTACACAACTAATAAACAAACAACAAACAACGTCATCGACGTAACCACGCGTAACGATGCGTTACGCAGACCCCAGAATGTGTAACTCCTCGGCGCCGCGCGCTTGCGTGACCGATTACATAACGGCGGCACGCGAGCTGCGGTCAGCGGTTGGGTCACAGTGCGTGCCAGTCCTCCCCTCCCTGCCCTGCCCTCCCTCACCTGCTCCATCCAGGCAATGGGCACGGACTGGGCGCTGGGCGTGGTGTTGTAGTTCATCACTGTGTCCAAGATGAAGGCGCCCTGGACGGCGGGCCAGCCGGCCGGCTCCAGGACCTCCGTGTACAGCACGTGGTGGATAAAGGCCAGCGAGCCGGCGCCGCCCTGCTCCTCCAGGTCGAAGGCCACGAAGAGCACGCTGAACTCGGGGCGACAGCCGCCCTCGGAGAGGGCGCGCGCCGCCTCCAGCAGCGCCACCACGCCCGAGCCGTTATCGTCCAGACCTGACCGAAACACGGGACTCACTGCTCAGCTGGACTGGGGGAGAAGGAGTAACAATTGGTTCGGAGACGAGGAACTGGATCTCCACCCTGGGAACGTCACGAGTACTGGATGGAACTCAGCGGGGCCGTCGTCCTGTAGGACGATATTTCAACATAGTTACTGATTTTATGAGGTTTCCAGGTAGTCACTTGCGAACATATCTGGAAAATGAAATAGTCAGAGCACAGATTGGGAGTGAACTGCATCCTAAAATTGAGAAAGAAAAACCGGTATCGCCCGAGAGCAAGTTTGTGCAAAGACATATACCACTGAGAGTCTGATCCCACAGCAAGTACAACACAAATGACTAACGTCCAATATGTCCGCGAAGAGCAGGAGGCCTAGCATACCGGATAAATTATCTAAGAAGTTCGTTGTTCTCTAGTAAGACTGATGGCATCTGCAAGCGGTAACTGGTTCAGTTAAAAACGTGCCTCTCTAGTCTCTACACATAATTTGGTCATAACACATACAATCACATACAACAAAAAGACATAAACTCAGTCTTTGTATAAACGACAAAAATATATATCCTTGTCCGGTTCCTCTGTGCAACGAAAACCTGCTTCACAATGCACATTCTCCTGTAACCGCTTCTCTGCAGTCTGCACCGATACCGAGACGAGCGAGCAATGCCAACAGACCAAACCGACCACCTTTCGCGGGCACGGAGTCCAGGCCTCTCGCCGTAACTGGCTATAGGGAACTCTGTGTCACCGTGTGTTTCTCTCCGTGCCACCGGGTGTCCCCGTGTCTCCGTATCTCCCGTGTCACCGAGTGTCTCCCCCGCCCAAATCGCAGGGTGTCTCCGTGTCACCCGTGTGTCTTTGTATCACCGGGTGTTTCTGTATCACTGGGTGTATGTGTGTCACTTATTGTCTCCGTCTACCCGTGTGTCTCCGAGCCACCGGGTCTCTCCGTGTCACTTGGTCTGGTGTCTGCGTGTCCCCGTATGTCTCCGTGTCACCTGGGGCATCCCCGTGTCACCGGTTGTCTCTTCGTGTCTCTCTCTCCGTGTCACCGGGTGTCTCTTCGTGTCTCTCTCTCCGTGTCACCGGGTGTCTCCCCGCCCCACTCACCGGGTATCCCCGTGTCTCCTGTTGTCTCTTCATGTCTCCCTCCGTGTCACCGGGTGTCTCCCCGCCCCACTCACCGGGTGTCTCCCCGCCCCACTCACCGGGCGTATCCGGTACGGTGTCGTAGTGCGCTCCGACGATGAGCAGCTTGTCGTCGGGAGTGCCCCAGCGCCGGCCGGGCAGCACGCCCACCACATTTACGCCGATGGGCTCCTCCGGTCCCTGGGCCTGCACCTCCAACTGGCGGGGGGGGGGGGGTGGAGGGTGAGGGGTGCAACGGCGAGTAGATGATTCGCAAGGACCTAGGCACTCAGTATGTCAGATAAAGATTTGTCCTGATGTACATAGAATCAACGGTTCTGGATTTGTACCCTGAAACTTGTAGGCACATTACAAACACGGACGCGGTAAATTTGTAATTTCATGTTGGATACAAGCCAGGAGCTGCAGGCACTCACTAGCCTTTTTACAGGACATAGGCCGGGATATCACTATGAAGATAAGATTAGGATACGCATAGTGCGTTCACTTTCCGCTCAGTGCAACCGGGCTGATTTTACTGATTTTGCCCAGCATGGATATTTGCATAATAGGCCCGATCAGTTGTAAGGCTTCGTTGAAAGTATGATAATCAGATACCTGTCCTGTACCTGCAGTGAAAACAGAATGTATCTCTGCCCATACATACCTTAGGCCTAGTGGCTATGTGGCACAGCTCCCAACGGACACTGCCGTAGGGTAAAACCTCAGAGATCGTGCGTTAGATATCACTGTTTTACAAGTTAAATGTGCCGTACACCATGAGCCCGATGGCGATAGCACGCGGCGGAGCCCCGGACGGCCGACCTACCGCCGCGTCCAGGTTATCCTTGGCATCCAGCTTCTCTGCCAGCGCCTCCAGGTCAGTCGGCGCGAACTGGAAGACGTGGTTGACGGACAGCATGTTGTACGAGTACATCTTCCGCGTGATGTACATCCGAATTGCACTTTTCAGCTCTGGGGAGGGTGGTCAGCGGTTAGGCCACGTTTCAGAAGCTTATAGTGATTCATTGGCGAATGACAATTGTCCCTTCAATTTCCCTTACGAACGTGTCTATAAAAAAATGACGAAAATCGCGACTTTATGCGTACATACACATAAGAATGGACATACAAGTTCCAATCGTTTGAGATAACGCACTTAGTGTTTAAATCGTTCCGTTTTTTTTTTCTGACCGATGAAACTGGACCTGTTACACAGTATGCTATGTTTTATCATAACTCAGCCTATCAGAACATTGTAATTCGTTCCTGTGTCCTTGATTACATAACAAGACGTACGATTAAATCGCCTTAATTAAACACATAAGCTTTCTAATTGCGACAATTTTCCGTGTTCGTGAGGACAGTGGGACCAGGACTGCCACAAGTTCAATCACTAATTAATTATCTAGCTTGACGGCACACCTGCGTCCCGGTCGTCGGAGCGGGGCAGCTTGAACACATTCTCCAGCATGAGCTTCAGGTGGCCTTGGCTGACCTTGGGGTAGCCGGTGTCCGATCTGCCCGACCTGGCGCCCATCTGAAACAGCACATACGTCACTTATCACCACTCTGCTAATGAGAGAAAATAAGGATGGACACATAGCAGACAATGACACTGAACTGAGCAAAGGTTTGAATTGACTGCCATTTCCCTGAACCGAACGGTAAGAAACCTGTCCCACCCCGACCGTCGCCGGGTCGGAACAGAGCTCACCTCGGAGACGAACCGTTCAATCTCCTTGTTGTAGACGTTCCAGAGGAGATCCTCGGTGGAGACGTGGTCGACGGGCAGGGCCTGCACCACGCCCTGGGCGCTCTCCTCCGACACCTTCTGAGGCGGGAGCGAGCTCAAAATCTGCGGAGGACATCAATGATTAATGGGGATTTGAAAACAAAGATGCGACCTGAACTGTAACAGCATCGCGCAGGACTTTCAGCATGTGATCGCTAGCTTTCCAAACGTTTTGAATGGATAATCTGCTTGACGTGCATAAGACACGGATGAACATTGAATACAATAATATAGAATGGCAAAAACAGACTATCGGCGACGCCTAGCACAGTTTCAGGTAGTTCTAACATGATTTCGAGATCCCTTCCCAGTCAGCCCCGTCGTCCCCACCTCTGAGACGTTGTTGCTGTGGGCGGCGGTGGGCTGCACCTCGGACGCCTTGGCCGCCTGCAGCAGCACCTTCTTCTCCGTGCCCGGCACCGAGAAAAACACCTCCGTGAAAATCTTCTGGATCAGGTTCTCGTGCCCGATGCTCAAGTCGTTGAATGTGAAAGACTGGGGTGCCGGCATCCAGGCACTCACGGCCAACAGCGACACTGTGGGAGGACGGAGGGAGTTAAACTGAGTGCTAAACGGTAGGGTTTGTGATGAAGCTTATCTGAATAAATGAGACTACTAACTAGTCAAATTTCTTCCTTGAACATTGTGTTAACATTAATACATCAATTAAACATTAATTTTAACATTGATTTAACATTGAGTTCCAGCATTATCAAGTCAAATCGGATGTACAACTACATCGGCCACTTGTACACCGGCTTCATTCTTCTACGACTGAATAGTTCGCTGTCAAAAGTTGGTGAAGTGGAACAAGCTATTCAATAAAAGGCGCCCTAATGACATTCATGAGGGAAACTGGTTCACATGGCAAAACATCAGCTAGAAACGGTACAAAAACATAGACTCCGCTGTTCGATCCACATGAACCTCCCTAAATGACCGGGAGATATTCCATTCTCTCATTTTGCTCTTTGTTGCACATGCATCGGCCACCTTAAGTATAAAGCATTTTAGTTTTTCTCCTATTCTCGAGAAATATACATCACAAGACAGTGAAAACGTAACACAGCCAATAGATTGCTCTGAGACGCAGCACATGAAACGTTCCCAGGTACAGCACAAACGTACCCAGATACGTAGCACGTAAGACATATCATTATTGAGGCACGTATACACACTGAATGTACCATGCACAGAAAACGCTACACAGAAGAGGTACATACCATTGATGAGCAGCAGACACGACCTCCAAGTGAGGCCAACCATGCTGAGCGGCTTTGACGGATCTCTCGGCTCACGAGTCTTTGTGAACCTCTGAAAACACCTGGAGATAGAGAATCATCGAGCTTATGAAACCGTAGCAGAGCCTTTGGAATGTATAAAAATGAATCTATCATTTGACAGTCAAACAAGTAACGAAAGACTAGCTACATCGTCAATATTTAATGTTACATACGAGTACACTTCTAGTACTTTACATGATGTTGCAAATTGAAGCACACAATTGCCGTGGTTAATGCAACCATGCATGTCGGTAACTGACAATATTGACCGTCGTAAATAATAATAATACATCGAATATCGAGCTGCCAGTCAACATTGTCTCCGGAACAATATTGTGCAGGGCAACATTGCCATTGGAAACTGCATTGACTAGCAATGCCAATTTTGCTCCGACCCTAAACAATACTGTCCTGGGCATTGTTCAGCACAGCGATTTGCCTTTAATGTTAGCTCTAATCAATAATCATGTATCATTTTAGATAAAATTTGATCAATTTTATCAACCAGCAACCAGGGACCCTGGTGTTCTCTGGCTGACTACGCGAGAGGTATACTTTTTTCCAAAGCAAAGATAATTTGCTGGTTCCGCCCAAAACCGGTTCCGCCTATTGCCAGGGGGTCATTACTCTCCGGCTAGTCATTGCCTGGCAACCGGCCAGCGACACGCATTCAGCATTGATAAAATTTGAAAATCGTTTTGCCCATTTGCACACTCTGCCTAAGAACGTATGCTTGACTACATAACACCCATACAGGGGACCTATTTCAGCTGTCACAATAAAGCAACTCAATATCACAGTGTCGCATTTCCCATAAATGTTGCATGTGATTGCTGTGCAATTGTGCATGGTAGGTGAACTGCAGTGCTGTTTACGGCGTGGTTCATCCACTCGGCCGACCGCTTCCCGCATGTTTCATCCGGCCACGCCCCAAAAAAGGCTGTCGACCGCTGCTTTATAGAGGAAGCGGTGGTGATAATGCATGACATAGCGAAGTGACCCTATAAATTGGTGATCAGTGACCTTTTAGATGACGTCGGCTAACGTGTAAGCTTATTTGCATTTTGCGACACTGGAACCAGAAGATGTCAGCTCTATATGGGCAATGCAATTTGTTTTGAAATGCTCAAGATGGACTTGCACATACATAAATGAGTTCTCTGTCATGAGTTACTTGAATGTGTCGTTTTTAAGGCTGCCCACTTCAGTAATGAGGTATGACTCGACAGGCACCACGCGCCTTCAGCCAGCCCGTGCATAGGACGATCGTCCGATCGTAACACATCGAGGTGTTGCTGGTGGTGGGGGAGGGGGGCCGTTTTCACGTCCCCCTCAGTGTATCGGTGACTCACCTGACGGCTACCTGTCTCCTTTCGTCCGGTTACCAGCAGCCTCTCCAATCACTCCGGTATCCAGTCACCGAGCCGAGGGGCAGTTCCTCCACCGAACCGCTGTGTGTGATCCGCGCCGGCTGATCGGGTCCCGAGTCGGGTCGGGTCGGGTCGGGCGCTCTCTGTATAACGTCGCGTGTCTGTTCGCCTCGCGCTCGGTCTGTCCGTGTGTCCGCCGCAGCTCCGTGTCCACAACTGACCGGTCGGCCGGCCAGCAGCCGGGCTCTCGCCGAGACCAAGTGCAAGGCCGGCCGGGCCCCGGTGAAAGTGGAGGACGGCTCTGCGCTCCGTGACCCCGACCGGTCATCGGGAGAGGGGACCCGGCCGGTCACTGCGGGGGACCGTCACTGCAGGAGGGACCCCCGACCGGTCAAAGAGAGGGAGGCACCGGTCACTGCTGGAGGGACTCTGACCGGTCACTGGGGGAGGGTCCCTAATCGTTCTCTGCGGGAGGGACCAGTCACTCTGGAAGGGACGCTGATCGGTCACTGAGGGAGAGACCGGCCACTGCGGGATGGACCCCAGACCGGTCACTGAGGGGCAGACTGACCGGTCACTGCGCAGTGAGTCCGACCGGTTACGTCGGGAGGAACCGGTCACTGTCCCGTGTCCATCAATTGGCCATTGTACCGAGCTAATAAATACTATACCTACCGGTCTCTGCGTGTGCGACCGGTGCAAAAGCCACAGCCGTCTTCTAAATCTGCCGTGGATTTCATCTGGCTACCACATGCATATTTATGCGTCTAATGTATCTGACTGCTAGCTAAATGAATGCTAAATGAATATTTTGCGAGGAAGGATGGACGACTTTTCTTGGAATTATTGCGCATACGACTCAGATAGTTTGCTAAGTATAAGAAAATGCTGCCAATTGCCATTAATGAGCATTTGTGGCTTGTTGCTGCATCGTGCAACCTTTTGCATTTTGGCTATTGCCTTACATCTGATAAAATAAAGCGTTGTCTCATTCAATACATTGATGATTCTCTGATCCTTCCTCTCATCCCGTTAGTACGATATCCCAATATAAATATCATTCACCAATCACCATGTACAACGATATTCTGATATCCACCAGTCACCATTCACCATCTCCCATCCACCTGCCCTCGTCCACCATCTACCGTCCACCGTCCATCGTCAACCGTCCACCGTCCACCACTTACATTCTGCCGTCGACATTACACATTCCGCCGTCCACCGTCCACCGTCCACCGTCCACCGTCCGCTCACCCTCCCCGCTCCTGCGCCCTTCAAACACACCCCGCCGAAAGGGAAAGGCGAGTTTTCCGGGCTGTTAGCGGCCGTCGACCGTTCATGGTCATTGGACACTCCCCCCCCCCTCTGTGAGGTCACAGCACTGACACACCGCCTCATTGGCACACGATGTCTATCGCGCGCGGCCACGACGCAATCCGTGACGTCATCAGTTCCGCTAGTGACGTCATCAGTTCCGGAGTTGGCGTCATCAGTTCCGAAGTTGATGTCCTCAGTTTCGCTACTGGCTCCCGATTATTCGGGATGGTCATCAGATGAAATTCCGGTTCTGCCCGCCCAGCAGGCCGGCCAGCGGCTGGAGCCGTGATGTCGTGACTCTGCCAGAGGATTTCTCGATGCCTACGTCCGCTCCAAGATCGTATCGTAAAATTCTGACCGAGTCCCAGAGAGCTCAGCTGTCGCAATCCCTAATCCGCATGCACTAAAGGTCGTTCTCCACGGTACATGTTTTGCGCGTTTTTAATGACGTTTTAACGCTTTTTTGATGTTTTGCGAGTTTTTCATGATCCGGCGTTGATCTGTACCATTAAATTACACGGTGCCATCTCCACGGCGGAAGATTTGTCAAAAATCGAAAAACGCGTGGCTTCATAAAATTAAAAAACTGCAAAACTCGTAAAACGCGTCAGTTGTGTCATGCAAAACTCGTAAAACTTTTAAAAAGCGCAAAACTCTCATTTGTAAAAACGCGCGATTTTATCCAAACATTTGGATCGAATGAAAGTTTTCCGGTTTTTGAGAAGGCTAAAGAGGTAATCATTCTGCTATTAATACCATTTTACGGTGAAATAGATGCAATGGAAAGTGTGGAAAGCGATGAAACGCAATTTGATTAAGCCAATGATCATGGCAAGTACTCAGACAACCATACCAATAACTTCTGTTGCTATTCCAACGATGTGGATGTCAAATAATTACATAGTGAGTCTATGGATAACAGCTATTACGATATCAGATCATTTCAGATAATTGATAATTAACTGATGTCATAGCGGTGATAACAATAGGGTAACGTGATGATACCCCTATAACTATCTTTACAGCGAAAATCGAGGGGTTAATAGAAGTCGTGCGCCAGATACCTGCCCTGTGGGACAAGAGGGCCACGGCATACAGCGCACGAAGGGCGGAGAAAGATGTTCTTACTCTGAAATTGAAATTGTTCTGAAATTGTAATTGTTTTGAAAGACTGACAAACTAAAACCGTAAAAAGCGAAAAACTCGCAAAACTCGCAAAAGCGTCTGTTAAAAAGCGAAAAAAGCGCAAAACTCTCGTTTGCTAAAACGCGTAAAACCGAAAATGTTTACACGTGGAGACAGTACTTAAGCCACTGTTCTCTGTAAAGTTTGAACGTCATTCGCAATCGCAAAACATGTGACTACGGTGACCTGACCAGAAATCGGAAAAAGCGAGACAATGCAAACCCCAATCGGCAAATACCAAAAACCTAGAGCAAACACAGTCTCTCCCGCTAGCTTGTAACTCGTTGTGTCAGACGGCCCCTGAAGAACCATTGGTCACGTATATGGTACCGGGGTTATAACGCTGGCTTTGTTGACTGCAGCCGTATAACGACAATTACGCCATCAGAAAGGCAGGAGAGGTGGGCTGGAAGTGGCCGCATACAACACCGACAGGAATGGAGTGTGTGCGGCTGCTTCAGTCGCGGACTCGGGCAGATGTGAGCACATAGGCTCCACTATCGAGCGCAGCACACGGTCACCCGACTACACCCAACAGCGAGCCGAGGAGAAAGGCGGGGGAATCTTCAACAGGTGAATGACAGCCAACCAACTGTTTTATTCACATTTCACGCTCCCGCAACGGCACCGACTCACGCTTCTCAAGCGCAGGCCGCTCAGTCTTCCCGGGTCCATGCCCTGGGGCGATTACGCAACGCGTAACCGTTCGCTACCGGCTGAAGGCTAATTAGCGGCCTGTTGAGCCGGTGTGGAGGGTGCAGAGAGCGAGAGTGAACGGCGCGGAGAGCGAGAGTGGACAGCGCTGCGCCCTCCGCCCGGCCCGGCCCGGCGGTACAAGACTGCCCTCGGCGGCGGCTCTCTCGAGGGGCGATTATCTCTGTGGAGGTGCAAACCGTGTCCGTCAGTCGGCTCCTGAAGGCCCGCGTCCTGCCCACGGCCGGGTCGGTCGACGGCTGGACCTTTCCCTTCATTACGACACTGGCATGCCGGGCGTGTGTATGCCTGTGTGGTGTGTGGATGTGTGTGGATGTATGTGCGGCTTCCAGGCGGATTGTCCTGATGGCGACCGGTCACGCGAGACAAGTGTGGGATCACAAGACGTGCAACTCTGTGATGACTAAGATATATCTTACCTTAGCATGCATCGATGGTTATGTAACTTTCACAGCGGAAGAAATTAAGCGGTTAGCGCGTTTGTTGGGTATGCTGCTCAGTCAGCGGCAGGAGAGGATAGGACTTATTTCAAAAGGAGGGCCATGAAGAAACTTCAAACTCATTGTACTCTAGAAGTGTCTTCATGACTTGCTAAGTGAGTGTAGGCCGGATATCCGCAAATTAATTGAGTTCAAAAGTGCAAGTTCAATGAAATACGCGATTTTCATTATGTGAAGCTCACAAACTCAACCCTGAGCCACTTTGTTGTGGAATTTCAACAGCGGGAAAGGCTAATTTTTGATGACCTCTGGTGACCTGACTGAACTGTCTCAAGAAATGACCGGCCGAATACGGAACACTGCTTTTGTGTGACTGAAGACGGTTTTTCGAGGGTTGTTTGCCGCAGTAGCCGCTTTGTGGGTGGCCCAGGAGCCGACTAATAAGGGGTGCTAAAACACTCCCCCCCCTCTCACTCCGCTTTGATGTGTTGCGATCGATCCACCACCGTGGACTTGGCTTCTCTTCTCTCTCTCTCTCTCTCTCTCTCTCTCTCTCTCTCTCTCTCTCTCTCTCTCTCTCTCTCTCTCTCTCTCTCTCTCTCTCTCTCTCTCTCTCTCTCTCTCTCTCTCTCTCTCCCTCTCTCTCTCTCTCTGTCCCTCTCTCTCTCTCTCTGTCCCTCTCTCTCTCTCTCTCTCTCTCTCTCTCTCTCTCTCTCTCTCTCTCTCTCTCTCTCTCTCTCTCTCTCTCTCTCTCTCCTTTGAACTTCTGATTATTGCACGCTTTTGCGTAAAGTGTTGGGACTCCAGTAAAACGCTGATAGGAGATAACGTTGTAGCAACGAATGGCCAAAATTGAAAGTTAAACCTTAACCCTCGCCCATGTAGGGGGGGGGGGTTGGTGCAACCCCCTCCCCCCTGAGGTTTTCTTAGCTACACGCCGAACCGTTTCAGATAGCCTGCTCAAATTTTCAGTACCCTTTGGGGCATCCTTTGCGCAACTTTTGGTAAAAATGTTTTGTCAAGGTCATGTCAGGTCACGGAGTTATGACGTCATAAAGGGAACAACCTCCGGCCAGATTTACGCTAAATTGGAGATTGCTTCACAATGGTATAAATGCCGACTGACCTGACACACTGATAGATTGTTTTAGAATCATAACTGGCTGATTTGACATTGGCACAATGTCCGTTGACCTTTTCAAGGTTACTAAAGGTCAAGGTCAGGTCAGTGACCTCGGTTGACCTGTAATGACTTCTTGCATTTGTTTGCCTATTCGGGGTATTTTGATACCCTGAATTCGAATTTGCTATCCATTTCAGGCATTGTCAGTTGTTTCTTGTAGTTCATTTTGGGTCAGGGTCAGGTCAGTGACGTCACACGCTTGACGTGACCCAATGCATAAATGACCTTGCAGACTTCCGATGCTCCCAACGCATCATTTTTAGAGTTATGACATCGAAATACACACCAAACGATAGAGAATTGATCAAGGATCACGATAGTGAAGGTTTCAAGTCGATATCTCTTACCGTACCGTTTTGCCGCAATCGGCGCGGAAA